CCCCCCCCCCCCCCCCCAGCACCATGCTCACTGCAGACATGTCTCAGAACAACAGTTTTTATTCACCTCACATCAAACAGGACCCCACCCCAATGACAGAGTCCCTCCACCACCCACCCCACCCACCAACAATAAAACACTCTCTTCCCTGTGCAACCTATTTGCAATATGGTTTGTGTGCCATCCTGGGATGGCGGGTGAGGGTGCTTAGGGGGCAGAGCCCGGGGACAGGCAGCTAGCATCCCGGTGTCTGGCCGTTCCCCTGTGGGTGCACATGCTGGGGCAAGCCTAGTGGGTAGAGGGCTTGTCCAGAGGCAACAGTGGCTTCTGGCCTCCCAGTGCAAGTGGCTCCCCTTCTGCAGGGAGCCTCCTCATGGAGCCAGGGTGAGTGGTGAGCCTGGGCCCAGGCAGTGGGGCTAGGTGGAGGGGGACCTGAGGCGGGTTCTGGGGTAGGGGCTCCTGGCTGGTGGAGGCAGTGCTGGACTTCCACCCAGGCCTATGGGGGGGCTTGTGCTGGGCAGCAGGTGGCTGCCAGGGGGTAGGCAGGGCTATAGTTGGAGGCTAGGCAGCAGGTGGCACAAAGGTGACTGTGTCCAGCCCTCAGTGGTGATTGTCCATAGCGTTCGCTGCCCTCCTGAGGACTGAGGTCTTTTCTTGCAGGGCCTCCACTTGCTCACACTCCAGGGCCAGGAGCTGCGCCCAGAAATCCCAGTCTGCCCAGTCCCATGCCTGCTCATGCCGGTCCTGTGTGTCCTCACAGGCCACATTCTCCACCCGCCACCTGTCCTGGTGGGCCACGTCCTCCTCCTGCCAGACCTGTGCATCCACAAGATGGTCCTCCAATGCCATCACCAGCTGGTTCAGGAGAAGGGTGCTATCCTAGGTGGTCCTCCTACAGAGCTGGTGCATCTACAGGGCCCTGGCTGTGGGCGGTGGCAACCCTGAGCCCACATCCCAGCTGCCAACTGAAGCCTCTCCCCTGCGTGCTGCTGCAGGGCCTGCAGAGCCATGAGAAAGAAGTGGTTTGTGAGAGTTTGCAATATTTCTGAGCTAAGATGCTCTGTACCAAGGGCTGTGCACTGCCCAGGTTCAGATTGGGGGTCTGGCATGCACAGGTGCCCAGGGACCATGGTAAGTTGACTGGCCAGGCCTGGGCCTAAGCGGTTGCTGGTGGAACCCTCTTTCCCTGCTTGCTCCTCAGGGGAAGGTGGGCTGCTGGGTGCTGGCCACAGGCAGCCTGCCTTCCTTGCCCCGTTCCCAGGGTGAGACAGGCCAGCCTCTTGGCAGCACCTGCTGCCACGGTTCCAGACCTGCTGCCCACCTCTCTTCCTGCAGGACAGCTGCTCCCCTGTGCTCCCACCAAGCTTTTGGTACCTGGGCTTGTGGGGCATGGGGCTCCTGGATGACTGGGATGAGGAGCTGCCCGTACCCCTGCCCTCCCCACAGGGGGCTGCTTTGGGGAGGTGTCTCAGGGCCAGCACCCCCAACCTCAGTGCCAGCAAGCATGCCCCTGTTGAACATATCACAGGTGCTGTGTGAGGAGCTGTTTGCATGGACTACATGGTACCTGACCCACTATGCTCTACTGCTGGTGATTGCCATGGTGCCCCAGCAACTGGCACAGGACCCTGAGCTTCAACAGTGCAGGGGGCAAGCCTGGGCTGCCCTACAACCTCTCCTGCCACCTGGAGGGCTATCTGTGGCTGTGCTACATGTCCTTGCCCCCTGCAGTCACGGAGGACATCATGGCATTGACACTTTCCTCAGCATCCATTGATGCATTCCTTGGCATGTGCCTGCCTGGCTGTAGGGTCATAGGCTGCTCAGTAAATTTTTGCACTGTCTTTCACCTCTCTGCATGCTGTGGGTGGGGTGGGGGGTGGGGGAGGGAATCCGGGGGCCAGGGGAATGCA